AATTAATTATATGTAATATATGATTATATTATTTAGGTGCATATTATAATATGTGTTGTGTGTATGTTTCATATCATTCTTTTTCTTTTTAATTTTTCATTATGATCACATAAGTTAAACTATCCAAATCTTCTTAATTTGACTCTTCTTCCTCTATTTTATGTGTTCAACTAGCATTTGAAAAATTAAATTTATTCAATTATATATGATATATGGATGGTTGATAACACATTTTATTCACATATTTATAATTTTGTAGTACAATGAACACACTTTTTATATATTTTATGTTCACTTCTTCTCTCATTTCTTTTTAATAATAATAAATTAGGTTTTCATATGTTTTATTTTCACTCTTTATCTTATTCTTTTCCTTTTAATGATAGGTTTGCTATAAATATACTTGCTTTAATTTTATATTTTCATATTTGATTTTTATTTTACTATTTTGGTTATAATTTTTTTAAACTTTATTTTTCACTAATTTTAATTGAATTAGATTCTAGATATGCTCTTGTGTTCTTTAATTTTGTTTTTTTTTTTGTAATTTTTATAATTTAGAAATCAAATTAGAAATATATTGAATCTTAATTTGATAAGTGAATATGAATTCAATAAAATGATGAGATTTGATTTATAAAATTTGGTTTAGTTGATTAACTGAATTAGTTGATTTTTCAAATTTGGACCTAAATCTTTAAATAATTATAATTATTTGATTCTTGAATATGATTGGTCTATTTTTCTTTTATACAATCTCACATTTGTTTTTTTTAATTTATGTTTTTTAATCTTAAACTCTTAAAATAATTTATAAAAAATTAAAAATTAAATATAGTATATGTGTTCTAAAATTGATATGGAATTTATTGTAAAGTTTAGAGAAAGCTGAATTCGTTTGATTTCAATTACAACATAGAATTTCAATTACAAAAATATTACTTTGACATGTCTAAGTGGATTTACATTCAAATGACGCGCTGTCAGGTGACATGTGAGAGTCTCAATTACATAGTGTAATAAGATGGTAATAATACATGTGAGAGTGCATGATTTACGACAAGGTTAAGACCACCACACGAACTCAACTTCACAACATGCACGAATACCAACTCCTGCTTGGTCCTTCCACCACAGATTTGTAGCTCTAGCATGACCCTTCCACCACGTCTGCAGCTCCAACTCGACCCTTTCACCATGAATCTCCAACTCCAGGTTGGCCTTTCAACCAGAGATATCTAACTCTAGCTCGACCCTTCCACCGCGGATCTCCAACTCCATTTTGTCCCTTCCACCAAAGATCTCTAGCTTCAACTGACCCTTCCACCATGGATCTTCAACTCCAACTCGATCCCTTCACCACGGATCTCCAACTCCAGCTTGACCCTTCCACCATCGAGCTATAATTCATTCACTTACTTCATTAAGCTACTCATACTCCCCACTAAGCTATCAACATACTCTTTAAAGCTCTTTATATGCTTTATCTAAGCTTTGCATGCCCCTCTTTACACTATTCAAGCTTTCCTTATCTTTCTTCGGGCTATCTAAGCTTTCTTTACCCATCTCTGATATACTCAGTTGTTGAGTCATCCTATCTACATTACTCAGTTGTTTTGGCGAATTGAACACACTACCTGGTTATTTTGCCGAGTTACCCACACTACCAACATCCAACCAAAGCCTATGATCGAAATTGAAACTATTGAAACAAGGACAAAGTGAGAGTGTGAAACCCTAAAATAAATAAAAAAACTTATATGCAAAATAACATAGTTATCCTCATATTGTGAGACCCACATATTTTAAAATGATATTAAAATAGATACATGAATAGTGTCAAATAAATGAATGTAAAATTCATTAAAACCACTACTTTATAAATCATTTCCCTATTTTATTATGTAAATGATTGAAAAACAAGGTAATTAGTTAAACAAAATGTTATTGAAAGAGTACATGATTTTAAGTGAAACTTACACATCTTCTCTTATAAAAACTTTATTAATGTAAGTGACTATGTGAGGTTTATTCTCTATGCACAACTTGTACTTTCATTATTATTATTAATATCATTATTATGGGTTAAAACAATTCTTTAACCATCTCCAATAATTATTAATATTGACAACCGAAAGTGTCCACCATAACAAATGACATTTTATACTCCTTCGTACAGTCACTTTCACTTCTAAACCATGATTTTTCTTTTTATAATTCATATAAGTTCTTTCTTTTTGTTCACTTTCATCTGTCCTTTTGTTAAAAGGTAGTTTTGAAAAGCACTAAATTCTTACAACACTTTTTTTTTGTGTGTCATGTTTTCTTTTTCGGTTAAATAAAGACATCAACCTATACTTTTCCATAAAGATTAAATCTTTGAAGAGATGCTTTTTATGGTCAATATAAATGTTCAGTTATTCAACTGCTTCTTCTCTTAAATTTTATTTTATTTAAATAGTAGTTATGTTTTTACACAATTTTCATTACCAAAAAAAATAAAATTCAACCAATTTAGAAAGGGTTAAAGATGACTATCATAGTGCTAAATGTAGAACAAGAATATAAGTATTCATGAAATCATATAAATTATATTTTTGTTTAATTTTTATACAATGTTAATGTAAAATAGTTACTCTATCGATTAATTAAAAGTTATAATAAAAATAATTATTATAAAATCTATGCATTTATTACATTCAACAATTTATATAAATTTCTCTTTATTTCTGTTCGCAAATCACAATATCTATTAATTGTAGTTCCAAAATTATGTGGTTACCTGGGTGGATTTGAAATCCAAATTATGACACAAACATTAGAAGTTGAAACATGAAACCGTTGGTGATGTTTGAAATGTGTCTTGTTATGGCAATGAATAACTGAGAGCATTTCACACCCGAAGGTGACACCTTTTTCTTCATCCATTAATGGACACTGAATTTTGAAGGAAGAAGAATGTGCAAACTTTGAAATAAACAAATGAAATTAATTAAAAAAAAAAAAAAAGAGTTGAGTCGAAATAAACGAACAAAAATTGAAAGCTCGGAACCAGGTAGACCAGCTGTGCCTGTCGGCGAATAACCAAGCACACCCATTAGCACCCTCCTCTCTCTCTCTCTTCAAACTCCTCAATTCAATTTGTGACAGTTAGAGAGAGAGTGCGTGTGAGTGTGTCCTCAAAGTTTTCAATTCAGTTATGACATAGTTAGAGACAGGTTGTGTGTATGTGTTTGTGTTGTACTTTGTTTTTTTCCTTCAACTTGGGAACAAAGGTTGAGACTTTCAACCATTTTCTTTTTCAAATCCTATGAAAAAACATCATGGGTATGCTATTGTTGCCCGTTGGTGTTGTTGTCATGGGACTAGTGAGGGTCAATGGAATGAGCCTGTAGCAGAGTGTAGAGAACGATGAGAAGAAACGCACACACGGTGTTTGGGTTGCAGACGGTTGTAATCTATTGAGGAAGCAATGTAGAGCAGTTTTATTGTAACACTGGGTGGAGAAGAACAGTGGCTAGGAATACATGAGTATTTGAGGCTTTGAAAATGATTTCATGTGGAAAGTGAGGAATGGTGTCGCGTGAGATTGGTTGCTAGTTATTGGTTTCTGTTGGTTTTCTATATCATATTTGTGTTGTTTTGGGATTTGGGGAATTAAGTTTTAGTGGATCGAGAGCAATGGAGTCTCGGATGGATCAGTATGAGATCATGGAGCAGATCGGGCGAGGAGCATTTGGAGCTGCTATTCTTGTTCACCACAAGGCTGAGAAGAAGAAGTAATAGTCACAACTTTAGCGTTTAATTGATGGGGTTATGTCTTTTTGTTCTTGAGATATTCGTTGATGGGTATTGGGTAGGTTCATACTAAGTTTCGTGACTGAAGCTTCGTTTTATTGGGTTGTAGATATGTGTTGAAAAAAATCAGGCTTGCAAGGCAGACTGAACGATGCAGAAGATCTGCTCATCAAGAAGTGAGTTGGGTTTTTGTGTGTTTCCTGCTTGTTGATTTGCTTCATAGTTCATATACCTTGAATCTGCGTTTTTTGGGAAGAGATTTGACTATTGTTGCTTGTTGAGAATTATAGATGGCTCTTATTGCTCGAATCCAGCATCCTTACATTGTGGAATTCAAGGAGGCATGGGTTGAGAAGGTGAGAGACCTTTAAGTCTATGTGTAATGTATTCAGTCTTAATTTCTTTCAGCTAATTGGTAATAGTTACAACATTATTGCACTTTTGTAAACTGGAAGTGTGAGAATTGTGACTGGTTACTTTTATGCTAAACACATTCTATTTCTGTTGCAGGGTTGCTATGTCTGCATTGTCACTGGGTATTGTGAAGGTGGAGACATGTGAGCATATGATACTACCCTTGTTCAATCTCTTAAAGTTTATTATACTTGTTCTCTCCAATTTTTTTTATAGTTTATGCTTATTTTCTCTTCAAATATGGGACAGGGCTGAATAGATGAAAAAATTAAATGGTGCTTACTTTCCTGAGGAGGTATTCTTGTCGCGAAGTTGCCTTTGTTTATGCGTGTATTCTTTTCCTATCTTACATTGAATGTTGTCGAAATTTCTCAGAAACTCTGCAAATGGTTCACTCAATTACTGTTGGCAGTGGAATACCTGCATTCAAATTTTGTTTTGCATCGTGACCTGAAGGTATACTTATATGAAACAAACTATTGGTCTATGATTCTTGTCCTTGATTAAAAATACATCAAGTCTGATTTTTTTGACTCTGCCGACAGTGTTCCAACATCTTTCTTACCAAGGATCAGGATGTTCGCCTAGGTGAATTATCCTATCATGTTTATTTATATTGGAGATGGATAGTTGACTCCTCATCTGAATTTGTGTGTACCTTCCTGACATATAGGGGATTTTGGCCTTGCTAAGACACTAAAAGCAGATGATTTGGCTTCCTCGGTATGTAAAATGATGTTGGTTTCTTCTCTGTCTTCTTTCAATCCAAATTATTTGCTTAAAAAGATCTAAGGATTCATGTTAAACATTTTTCTATCAAGTTTCTCGTATTAAAGTTGTAATTCTTTCTGGGACTTTTGTGCACACACTGTAAGAAGACATCAATGTTAATTTCACTTATAGTCATACGTAGTTTTTTTGGCCATATCCTAAATTTTGTTTCCTATATCTGTTTGGGAACCCGAGGCTTCAGCTGGGTTTTTTCTCTATTGGCCAAACCAAGGACTAGTAATATCATCTCAACTATGTGTAGTAAAAATTATCCCGCTGTTAAGTTTATTTCTACAAAAAAAGTGGGACAATAATGTATTAATATTTACTTCATGCAAAACATATATTTTCAGTCCCATACTCTTCCACATTTGCCGGCTCCTTTATAAACTACATTTTGAGGTAAAGAAAAGAGTGGAAATAGGAACTGAGTGTTGTTTGGAAAAATTGAGTTATCTTGCTTGCTTGAAATTTAATAGATAAGACCAATAGTTATTACTCTTATTGATAAGAGGAAATTTCTTTTTTTTTCTAGAATTTGGGCTGATTCAGCCACTGGATCACGTTGTTGTAAACTTGTTTATTGTTTCTCATCTTTTGGTGGACAAATTTACATTTTAATGATCTTTTACTTCTAGAGGTATACAATATGATATGGTATCAATTATTTAATATATATGATTAGCGTTATGTTTATATACAAATGCATAGTCACCAGAGATGAAAAATGTTTCTATGCAGGTGGTAGGAACTCCTAATTACATGTGTCCTGAACTGCTTGCTGATATACCGTATGGATTCAAATCTGATATTTGGTCACTAGGTATGTATTTTACAACAAGTATCTAATACTTGCAGATTTGTTTTTTCTGGAGCTAAAATGCTTTCCTTTTGTCCAGGGTGTTGTATATACGAGATGGCTGCTCATCGCCCTGCTTTTAAAGCTTTTGTAAGTTTTCTTCTGATTTTTTTACTTAAAATAAGATATTGGTAGGATGTACCTTTAGTGAGGTCATTTCATGCAATACCCTTATGTCAGATATGAACATCATATTTCATTTTTGTTGCGGGGTTGCAATAAATGTCTTGTTGCAGAGGTTAAACAAGTTAAGTCCTCATCAAATTGTGTTTAAATGGGGTAATTGTTGAGCAGGAGATTATTATGAACTGTATAAATTTTCTCGTGGTGGAAGTCAAGTAGGTCAACCACAATGACATTTCGGTTGTTAAGTTCTTAAGTAGAAGCATTTTTCTTTAACTATTAGCTATAGATTTTAGCTTAGTAGTAAGTGTTCTATCTAATAGTGATATCAAAGTTAAAGTCACGAGTTTGATTCCCAATAATTACTTTACTTAGAAGGGATTACTGCAAGTAATATTAATTGTCCAGCCAAGTAGGCCAAATCAAGCTACCACCTACCAGATCACCATTGTTGTCTACTTTTAGTTTCGTTATCCCCATATATGTGCCAATGTTCTAAATTTACGCTTGTTTTGTAAACTATTTTCTTGAACATTATTAACTAGAGTTGCTGGGTGATGTTTGCTTCTCCGGGGAATATGTTTCATGTGATTCTTCACACTAGATATTTATGTATATGGAGGTATCTCACCATGGTTTATATCTTGGGTTTTAACGAGGGCATGGTAAACCATGTTTCAGGATATGGCAGGGTTGATAAGCAAGATAAACCGTTCTTCCATTGGCCCTTTGCCTCCATGTTATTCCCCTTCCTTGTAAGTTTCTTTCTGCTTGTGTTAATATTAATATTCTTTTGTCTCTACCCTTTCTGATGAAATCAGGTTTACAACATACATAGTTTCTACTTCCTAGTGTGCACGCATTTGTCGGGATTTAGGCCATAGGGTGTTTATTGTTGTGCAACTCCAACTTTGTTTTTTCTCATGAGCCATGAATTGCTGGTTTTTTATGATCTTGTTGAATATGATCTGTAAGTTAACTTGTAGCAGTTGATGGGAAAGATGATCTGTTTACTTACCAGTAGAACACGCCTTATTTTTCTCTTTGCTAAGCTTCTTACTTGTTAACTATTGTTACCTCAGGAAAACACTGATAAAGGGCATGCTAAGAAAAAATCCTGAACATCGACCAACAGTAAGATTCTCTTGAGAGCAAATTTATTTACAATGTGGAAATGGTTTACTGTCACTGTTTTTCCTAAATATTCTCACTTCATATTTTCACAGGCATCTGAGGTGTTAAAGCACCCTTATTTACAGCCTTATGTGGATCAATACCGTCCAGCTTTCAGTCCTCCATCAACCTGTTCTCCTGAAAAATCAATTTCTACTGTCAACTATCCTCGGAAAAATATGGCTGAAAGTCAAAACAGTAATAGTTCCAACAGTGACAAAGATAGTTTGATGTCAAATGAGAAAAGCATTGCAACAGCAGTACCAAAGTGTGAGAACAAAGCCACTGAGATGGATCAAACATCACTCGATGATGATGGTTCAGAGGAAGAAAGTGGCTCTAGAAATGCCAATGGCAATACCAAAACAGCTGAGCAAGAGGCGATGAAACCATCTCATAATGCACACCATTCTCCCGTTGAATCTAAGCAGCCAAAAACAATTAGAAATATAATGATGGCATTGAAAGAAGGAAAGGTTAGAGAAGCAACTTCTCCAATGAGAGGCAATCGTGTAAAGCCTGGTGGTGTATCAACTCAGAAAATAAGTACTGAGACATTGTCTAAATTGCCTAAGCCTATTTTTATTGCTCCTATTGTGAAACCTATGGTAGAGTCACCAACTGTTGCACTTGCACGGGCAACCCCTGACTCTGCAAAAAGAATGCAGGGGTCACATCAATCAAAGCAACAGGTAATCACCATTTTTAGATTATATATGTTATCAGCTCTTTCTAAAAAGAGATCCTCATGACATTGAGATTTATTTCTTGTTTTTCATTACTTTATGCTAGCAGTTTCTGATGGTAGAAGCCTCACCAAAACTTAAAGCTAGACATGATTTGACTCCACCACCTGCAGTTGTCAAACAAGTAGATGGAGATGTTCCTCCCAGGCCAAGACAAAGGACTCCCCCAAGCTTACTTAGACGACCTTCATTTTCTGGAAGGATGAGGCTGGTTGGAATTGATGTTTCAAATGCAGCAAATGATACTGGAAAGCTAGGCACAGATAAAATAGTTCAGGAACATGAGATGAGCCCTTCTCAGTTGGCTGACGACAATGTACCACCAAGTATTTCGAGACAGGTTACTAGAGAGCCCCTGAAGGTTTTTGAAAGAAGTTCAAGAGGAATGCAAACAGATAGCAGCAATTCTGCTTCGTCTTCGGTTTCTATCCGAGGTGAACTTGCTGATGATGCCACAACTTTTATTGACATGAAAGAACAGATGCTTCCTGGACATTCGAATGTAAGCCACATTGGAGGTGTGGAATCATGTCCTGACAGCAGCCCGCTGAATACTTGTGCACATTGTAAGGTGGTTGAAAATGTTCCTGAAGATTCATGTGAGATTGCCATGAATTTTCACAATACTATAAGCAGTAATGAGAAAGTGAATTCCAGTTTAAGTCAAGATCACCATGTTGAAGATTCTAAGGTAGCACTGGCTTCAGAAAGGGGTCTTCTTAAATCCCAGCCAACTATGTCTACTACTACTTCTGGCTGTGATGATGGATCTGTTGATCACTCTGCTGGAGCCACCAATGAAATCAAAGATTTTCAAGATATTACCAAGGAAATGCCTTTGGCCAAGTCTACGAAACACGCATCCCCAAGTTCTGGAGAAAAGTCTGTTCACACAGAAGTTAGTCCAGAAAGTGAACCCGAACTCCTTATTCAGCCAGCACTTGGATGTAAGTCCCCTGGTGATGACAAATTCACAGTGAGAGAGAGACTGTCACCTGTCGTTGAAACTGTTCCTCTGGTTACCCCTACTAAATTATCAAGCCAGAAAGTTTTGCAAGAGAAAGGAACTGTGCTGCAGAGTCCAGCACCAGAAAGGCCTGATACTGGCCATCTTCCTCCAGCTTTTGATGATGTTATCCATGTCATACGTCATAGTAGTTACCGCGTTGGCAGTGATCAGCCAGTGAAGGAATCTGTGGAGATGGGAGTTCAAAATGTAGATGTTGGTAAGTTTATCAATGTTGTGAGGGATGATTTAGAAATGAGGAACATAACGTCACCTTTGACTCTCAAATCTTCAAGTTGCTCTGATGTTACAAGCTTGAAATCTGACCAGTTGGAAATGAAAAACTTAAACACTCCTCCTATCCTTAAATCTTCAAGTTTCTCAGAATCAAGCAATTCTGATCATCCTGGTCTTAAGGAGCAAGATGTGAGTAACCCTCCTCCACTAGTTTCAGAACCTGAATCTACTGAGCTCAGTAAAAGTAACACTCCTGGGAATGAAGAGAAACCACCAGCAAAGGAAACATTGGATGTGAAATCTTTCAGACAGAGAGCAGAGGCACTTGAAGAGCTCTTGGAGTTGTCTGCAGAGTTGCTGCAGCAAAACAGATTGGAGGAACTTCAAGTTGTTCTGAAGCCTTTTGGGAAAGATAAGGTCTCCCCAAGGGAGACAGCCATATGGTTAGCCAAGAGTCTCAAAGGAATGATGTCTGAGGAAAGTGGGGGACGCTCTTCATAAGGTATCTCAATTAGTGAATTCTTATGCGATAAATTCACTTGTATTTCATGTTTAAAATTTGCTCTTAAAGTTAGTCCATAGCTATTCAAGCACCACTTGAATCCATAAGAGAACAAATTGTCTGTCCCTTCTTCCATTATTGTAATTCTTTCAGTGCTTTTAATGCTATTGTAAATAGTGACCATACAAATTAATAACATCAACTTACGATTAAATTGTTACTTATTAATGTACCCAAGACTTTCCATGATTAAATGGACCTAAGCCAAGAAAACAAAAAAAATAAATTACCCAATCAACCACAAACAGAAAGCACACCACAATTGGCAGTCAGATAGCAATGTTTTCTGTCAACTCTATAATTTTCAACCAAGATGATAAAGGCTCTTTATATTATATTCTAGACACATGTAGGAATAATATTGTAAAAAAACTACGTTAGAATCGTGTAGATTACCTCCTTTCCGGGTAGTTTCGTAGGTTTCCTCATTTCCTAGAAACATCCTGGAACCTTCCTATATATACTTTTACAAACGTAGCATTTTAGGAAATAACGCGCTTTGCTACAGTTTAAATATGTGTGGTCCTTTTGTGTGTTTTCGTTCTTCGTATTGGTTTTCTTCTATTTCATGATAATACGAGCTTCTCCTTCGTTAACAACGGCACCAAGCCAAAACTGCACCTTCCTACCAGTTAGCATCATGATAAGACAAACCCTTCTTCCAAAATCCAAACCAATGGTTTAAGTACTGAAAAAGATAGATTCGCTGTCCATAGTGATCGTTCGTACTTGAACTAATCAGGTTTAAATCTCGTAAATAATATTTGTGTCTGAAGCAAAAAAACGTCCAAACCAATGGCTCCGACAAACAACCAAAGGACAAGATGCGGTGACACCCGTTTTCCCCGAAACCTAATACTTTTGTTGGTTACCATCTTTGTTTTTTTCATGGCTGCTATCAGCATAGCATGGCTTGTCATGCACCCACATAACCCTGGTTTTGTGGTGACGTCACTTTCTGTAACCAAGTTCTCTCTCTCAGACTCCCATGTACGAGGAAGATACGAGATTGGACTAACCTTAACAAACCCCAACAAGATCACAACCCTAGTGGAGCTTCACCGTTCCGGCTTCTTGCAGCTTTACGGTCATGAGGAGAGGCACTCGGTGGATGCAACACAGCGGTGGCAACAACGCGTGGTCCTGGAGAAGTTCACCAACAAGAGTGTGAAGGTTGACTTTGAAGTGATTGACCAGCACCAGAAGGCTGTGCCCCCGGTTCTGGTGGAGGACTTAAACAAAGGGGTGGTGAACTTCAACGTGGTTTTGACGGTTACAGTTAGATTTGAAGCTGGAATATGGCCAAGCAAGGATGTGTTATTGGATGTTTGGTGTAAGGATCTGGATGTGGAATTCCACTCTCAAACAAAAGACACTGGCAAGCTTCTGGGTATTGGGAAGAACTGCTCCACAAAGAATGCTGGAGGGAGAACTTGATTAGGAAGAAGATTTAACCATGTTATCGTCATTAGTTTAGTCGATGTGATAATAAGATAGATTCTGATTGTAAACTCTTCTTTTAGACATTTACATTTTGTTTATAGAAAAACAGTAGATTAATCAAAATATATGAGAGAATAAGTTCAAAATATTTAAAGAAGTAGTAGTAAAGGAGATTATGTCTTGTTTTACTGGACCATGTTAAGGTATATGTTTGTTGTAGTGTCAGACACTGGCAGAATGAATTCCAAGGCATTGATTGGAGAAGTAACTACAAAAGGGTTACTTTAGTAAAAGTACCTGGGAAAGACCTTCAAAAGAAAATTCTTGCAAGACTTACAAGTTGCGTAAAAGAAGAAAGTGGGACCACAGATCTCATCAGAGGAATTTTGAAGACTTTTTTAGAACTTTTTATTAAAGATGAATTTTGAAATATTTGACTTTCTATTAACACAGATATTTAGTGGAATACTTAAAATGTGAAATAAATTTATATTCGGATTAACTTTTTCACAATTTTTAAAGAAAGAAAAACAATATTCACGATGCAGAGAAAAGGTGAAATGTATCTGGCTGAAAACTGCACCATCATTGGCCAGGACTTAAACCATCATTCATGGTCAAACAGAAAATCATTGAGCAATCAAATTAAAACAAAATATCAAATTTGACGTTTTTAAAAAAATTAAAGGACTAAATTAGGAAAACTAATAATTAAGGTTTTTTTTTTAAAATTCGAATAAAATTAGATGACCAAATTAAGAATTAAACAATTTCTTCTGTGTGGACCTAAGAAATACAAAATACAAACATACACATATAAGTATTAAAAATTTAATATATTTTTATTCTAATTTCACAAATTTTAAGATCTTACCATCTCAAATACACTCCAATTACTTTCACAAACATAAAAACTACTTGTCAAACTAAGTACGTGAATAAGAAACCTTTGAAGTTATAGATATCAATCTTCGTAAGAATCACACCAAGTTCTTGGAGTTTTTTTTCCCCAATTGCCTTAATAGCCAAGAAATTACCAAATAACTTTTCTTGATTCTTGAAATCTTCAATTTGCAAATCAATCAAATGTTGCTCCTTATAAGCCACCATCTTTTGTATACATTGTAGTAGGCCCAAGTTAACTTTTGTATTAAATTTTTAATTGGGATAATGATGTAATTTAGAATTCAAAAATAGTTTGTAGCATACAAAAGCCTATGGAGCTAGTTGTCTCACCTTTCATCAATAATATTCCATCGTCTTCGTAACAAAAAAATAGAATAATAATAATATGAGTTAATGTTTTCTATTATACATATATAAGAAGTCAAATATAAAAATTGAAATGAAGTTTCAATTTATAGATTACTAAATTGTTTACCTTTTATTGTCACCATTACACATCTTTCATGCATTTCCTTTCGTCTGGTTTATTTGTCTTCTAAATAAAATCCATTATTGATATATCAATAAAACCTACCGTTTTAGGAAATGCAACCTTCAAACATGTGATAACTTTTGTACAAATTAAATTGGAAGTTTAGGGATTTAAATTGTAAAACGTAAATTGTAAAATAGAATCACAAAACCAAATGCAAAAATTAAAATGATGAAAATGAATCAATCCCAAAATAAATAACCAAACAATATGAAATTCATAGTTATCTAAAAAATTAAATCCAAATTAGAATAATTAATCAACTAAATAGGTTTATATGAATTACATTTTAATATCATTTAATCTTATTTATATTTCACTATCAAATCAAGATTCAATAAATACCTAATTTGAATTATACTTTCAGAAGTGTAATTTGATATAAAAAATAAAGCCAAAATTAGAGAAAATAAGAACAAACTCTAAACAAAGAGCAACCTGTGCAAAACTCAATTCTTGTTTGATCCTGATGTCATGAATTGTTCCTTAGAATTTTAGTTCTCCATTATTGAAGAAAAAAAACCAAGCATAGAAAAGAAGAATAAGATGAAAAGACAAAAATGAAAAAAAAAAGAGAGAGAGAGAAATAGGAAAAAACTAAAACTTTGAAAATTTGACAAATGATTTATGTCTCCTTGTTTTTAGCATAATTAGGTCTTATATACGTTTTAAAAACTGAAGCAAAATGTGAGTATAATCAGGTATAAAATATAAGTAGAAACTTTCTAATTTTTGGAACAGTATCTTGAATGAGTGTCTTCTTTTCAAAATCTTCTATCATCAAATCATGTGATGTGTTCTAGATGGAGTCCAATAAAAGCCTTTTTTTTCGTCATTCTCAACTCTCCATTTGCATCATTATTAGCAGCATTGTATGTTACAATTTGGATAATATTTTCGTCACCAACTTCTTTAATAATGTTATCCAATATATTACAAATATTATCAAGTTGTTTTTTATAAGGGAGATGCATGAATAGATTTTAGAAAAGTTTCCTTTGGTTTGTTAACTAAAAACTTCAATGTAGTCCTTCCTTCTCCTCTAATGGGTTCACCCATTAGTCATTATTATGCAACTTGTTTTCCTCCATGCAATGCAACTCTATAAAGTTCCAACGTATCTTTTGTTACCATAACTTATGCTTTCACGCACTTACTCTTATCTCATGGTATGAAAGTGGCTTAAATCTAGGGTCATAATTTCAAACTAAATTAAGCATTCTCAAACATTTCCTTTTTTTACTTCACCAGTCACACTTTTGCAAGCAACTATGTCCTTTGAGTTTCCGTAAAATGGTGATTCAAGCGATAAACCCTTCCTACAATAGTTTTTTTTTGGGCAAAACTATACATTGAATTTTTCTTGGATTTCTACTAAGAGAAAGTTTACTGTGGGTTACCCACAAATCAATAACATCTAAGTCAATTATATAAGGGATTGACATCATTCTTTATCCAAAATCTTGACAATGGATTAATGGGTCTTTCACCTTTATATACTGCTTTACTTTCTTATTTCTATTCAACGTGGGACTTAAATTCACACTTAGATTCTCAACATACATCTTCCATGCTTCCAAACCAAGTTTGTTCTACTACACCACATTTTAGAGCAAACGTTTTGTAAGAAGGAATTGTGATTGCTGTCAGTAACTATGATTATTGTCAGCAGTAGTGACATCACTTAAAGGGAGGATTATAAGCCCTAACTCCCGAAGCCATCATAATGATGTTTATATTTTGGTTTGTAAAATCAAATATATGTCAAGAAAATAAGAGGGAGAAAAAATGAACAACATGTGAACAAAAAATAGGAATTGTGAACAAGACGATGAAAGTGCAACTTTTATCGATCCATAAAGTTGTTGTCATTTGTTACTACAATGACAGTTGGTTTTATTTTCCAATTACGTTATTGCGAACAAGGAGATACAAAAGTGAAATCAAATGTGACTTTATAGTCATGACTCTGTGAATGGTTTAACAAGGAGATGCAAAAGCAAAATTGTGATGGTGCAATGAGATCGTGAGAGTGAGTGGTTCCTAACGTGCTTAAGAACGAGATTAACATTAAGAAAAAATTATATAACTGTGAAATTAACATTATCATGTTTTTTACTATGTTTATTTTTACTTTTTTTATATTTTTATTATTATCTTTTTTAAATAATTAAGAGTTTATTAAATAAATTTATAAAAGAGAAGTATTTTATTTTTATGGGTATTTTTATTATTATATGTTTAAGATTTTATTAGATAATTTTGAAAAAGATGAGTATTTGAATTTTATTTATGAAATATTTTGTAAATAAGTGAAAATATGAGAAAATGTAATAATATCATCATATAAAGGATTATCAATTACAATTTATTCAAACACAAATTCCCCTTCCACTCTAATGGCATGTACATTAAAGTGTCACATATTTAGAAAACAATATTTTCGAAGTAGGAAACTAATTCTAAAGAAGAGACAATAACATTTTGGAGGCTGGAGACACTCTTCTTCACCGTTATTTTTATCATCTATCATCTTTCTAGTGCTCATAATGTTTAGGATTAACTAATTCTTTTACTCATTGGAGTTGGAGTTAGACGTAATGTATTTTTATTCTTTAGGATATATGCTATTCAATATACTTTTTTTTCGATTACTCTTGTGTTATATTTTTGTTTTTAATTGCATGATTATTGATTACTTATCTATTTTCTTTTATTACTAAAAAATAATTTAGAATCTTGATTAGGATATTAAAACTAATAGTTTGTCTCTAGGTATAATGTAACTATTTAATCATTATAAACATCTGAGTATCTAAATTTAATGCGAAATTTTTGTAAAAATATCTAAAAGATTAAAAATTTTACTATTATGGTTTAAAATTATCTATAGAATCAGAACTTGATAGTTTTTTTATCTAATGATACATGAATTGTTTAATGATTTTATAAACAAAAACACTTTTATTAAGAAAACAATATCTGAATTTTCCCTTTATTTGTTAGTATAAAATTTTATAAAGGTAACAATAATTTGATTTTTTTTTCTGCATATGTATATTAAGTTTTTTTTATTAAAGTTGAGATAATATTTTTCAAAATCTAGTTTTTAAATTATTTCAAAGATAACACAATACAACCTAATGAAAGATACAAAAATTAGTTAATATAGAAAATAAGAAGCAAACTCCATGAATAAATATAAAAGTCATATTCAGTCAAAAGTAAAAACAATGATAAAGAAGAGGGATAAAAAATTGACTTGGAGAGGTTTTGGACGCGGTAGGCAAGGCGGGGCAGGTCGTTGGAGATTGGTTTATGTCTGGTA